ACGTGTGCTCTTCCGATGTCTTAGAAAATCTGTCAGAGAGCGATCGCAGTGTCATGTCACGTTATTTTTTGACAAGTAGCATCTTTGAGCTGATTACTGTCAAATTTTGAGCGGAATTCATCACGTGGTTTCATTTCTGTAGACGAATAAAGCGAACAACCTTTGTATTTTTTGCAAAATAACAAGTTTCGTATAGTGATCAAACACCTATATATGAAAGTTTTAACGCCGAAAAAAATCAAAGCCGAGTTGGATAATGTTCATAGCACATCTGCACCAGCGTTTGCGACTGTACACAATTAGATAAATAAATTTAAATGTAGTCGTACATCCACATGCCATGTATGTACACTCATTCGGGACGTCCAATTGAGGCTGCTACGCCAGAAATCATCGATAAAGTCCACGATATTGTTTTGACTGATCGACGAATGAAAGTGCGCCAGCTTGTTGAGGCCACAGGCATATCACATGGCACAGTAATTTCAATTTTGTACGAACAATTGGGTATGAAAAAGCTATCGGCGAGATAGGTGCCGCGTTTGCTCACTGTAGACCATAAGCGCGATCCTGAATCTGATGGCCAAATTCAATGAATTCCGCTACGAATTGCTTTCCTATCTAGCATATTCGTCAGATTTAGCCCCCTGCGACTATTTCCTGTTTCCACACCTGAAGAAATGGTTCGGAAAAAAAAGGTTCACCACCAAAAAGCAGCTCATCGCCGAAACAAAAGCTTATTTTGAAGGTTGGACAAATCATATTATTCGGACGGCTTGAAAAAGTTGGAGAATCGTTGGATCAAGTGTATTGAACTAAAAGAAGATTATGTTGAGAAATAAAAATGAATCGACAAAAAAAATGTGTTTTACTATGTTTTTTTAAAAACTTATTGACTTGCCCTCGTGTGTATATATATATATATATATACACATGAGGGCAAGTCAATAAGTTTTTAGAAAATAGTAAAACACATTTTTTTTGTCGATTCATTTTTATTTATATATATATATATATATATGTTCTTTTCTAATTCTTATATAGAAATTTGTTTATGTTTCAATGTAGCCGCAAAAGGATTCGAGAATTGTGACAATCTCTATTATCTATATTCTGCAGATAAAAACAGATCTAGCTGTTCTTTACACATATAAAGGTATACAGATTATAACTGTCACAGTGCATGGGATACAGCATAGTGTAAGTATGGTAAAATTTACAATATATATGTATATTTAACAATATTTTTCTACATTAATAATTACATCTTTATAATTCATCACTAAAATACTTCGCAAAAGAACCCTGCATTCTTATAGAAAAATGATCCCAGTCAAATTGCTTTATTTTGAAATATATATGTTGCAGTTTATGGAATTCTGAAAACAAATGTTTATATTGCCATACCCATTGAAAATTAATAGATGAAGAGAGCTGAAGTTATAGAACCTGAGAGAGCTACATCTTTTTAAGATAACTTAGTATTTTCTTTTATATACATATAGATACACATATGCATATATTCTTTAATGTTAAGTGCTACATATATGTGCATGTGTGCAGGCGTGTGTATGTTGCATTTTAATTAAAACAGTCAATTTTTTCCGAAATTATTGCTGATACAAAAAAAAATGATTCAGATAAAAGTGGAATGATTTCAAGGGTGACATATTTTGATCAAATTGCTTTTTTCTAGGTGGAGATGCTAAGATATGAAAATTATTTTCACTCTTTTAAATAGAATTATGTAATTTTTTACATAATATGATTCCTCTAATTATTCTGCATATTAAAGTATTTAAAAAGTATTATAAAGTAGATAAAATTATTGAAAAATTAATACTACTTTACGAGACATCTCATATTTTTTTATAGAAATGGCATATATGATATAAAGTATGAAATATCTCGTAAAATATTGATTTTTTAATAACTTTACTTTAATATTTTATATGCAAAATAATTAGAAAGATTGTATTATGTAAAAAAAATTATATAATTCCATTTTAAAAAAGTGGAGAGGACTTTCAGATATTTTTAGAGAACCTTAACCTAAAAAAAATGCATGACCAAAATAAGTCACCCCCGAAACCGGGTTTCACTTTCATCTGAAACATTTTTTGCATCATCTATAATTTTAGAAAAAATTGGCTATTTTAACTAAAATGGAATACACATACGCATGTACGCACGCACACGTACATATACACTACACATGTTAATATTAATTACAAGAATACATGCATACGTATTATACATAAAAGAAAATATTATATCTTAAAGAGACATTCAGGTTTTATGACTTCTATAACAAAGATCTATATCTTTATCTATTGATTTTAGGTGGTAATGGAAACATTTGTTCAGAATTCCAAAAAATACAATGTATTTCAAAAAAAGGAATTCGACTGGATTTATTTCTCTACAAGAATCGTGTGATCCTTTAGGAGTCACAAGAATACAGAAGTATAATTTAATATTATGCATTATTTTAATTAAATATTTCATTATTTAAATATAGTTTTTAAATTTTTAGGTCAATGGAACCGAAATAAGGCACTGATGTTATATGAAAGAAATGAAAGAACAGATTTTTTTTTAACTGACTGAGAAGATTACATGTATTCTATAACATGTTTTAATTCTTAACGTCATTTTTATGATATCAGTACAATTGATTAATATACACTGTATAAATAACTTTATTTACATTATCAGAATTATCTTTACTTTAGTTTTCTTATAAGTTACTTTAAAAGAATATTTTAGAGCACATTATGTAACAAAGAGTTCGAATGTTTTATATCATATTTATGTTAAGTTACTTTACATAGGATTTTATGTTAAGAAATACATATACATTTATAATTAAAATTTGAAAAAATATTATAAGATAATTTTGGTAATTAAGTTTTGTATGTGAATTTTAAATTAGATTTACATCACGTTTGTGAGCCATATTTATGTCAAAGATATGGTAACTTATTAATATTATATAAATATGTATATATAAAATATATATATATATATATATATATATATAATATACATATATTAATATTATTGCTTTATAAAAATATTTCAATAAATAAAATAACAGTGATGTTAATTAGATAAAAGAAAATTTTGTAATAGTTTCCTAGTTTCTAGGTAATAGCATTCTTGTATAAAAATTTAATATTTTAATAATAATTTTCTAATATGCAGAATATATTTCAGATTTTAATAAATAAACTTTGAGATTAAAGATGCTATTAAGATTCAAGAAAGATAAGGACAAACTCGTTGCAATTGTATAGTTCATAAGTTTACAATTTTTTGTATTTTTAGATAAAAAAGATATTTCAATGTTGCTGCAAGCTTGTCGTAACATTGCTGAAATATTTTGCAACTTCCATGCGACAATGTTTCAAATAAGGTTTATGCAATGTTTCTGCAATCTTTCAGTGCTGCATGGGTGTTTTATACTTAATCAATGTCGCACGCATACATACAATCTTTTTTTCAGATATACCGTTCTCTTATATTAAAATACCTAGCCTCATTATGCAGTAAAGCATAACAATATTCCTCCATGTAATCTCGAGCCCAATTACTACTTCTCTCATAAGTACAAAGTCTCTTTGATACGCAGCACATGTCACGAGTTGAAGAAGAGTTGCAAAAGCTGATAATTTTCTTTTTCTTTCATTTTTGTATTCAATTGCAGGAGTCAGTTATTATCAACTTTAATTCTGGAAAAGAATTTATAATAAGGATTTTATTGATTTCTTTGAAATCAATAAAAAAAATCTGAAAATAATCGCGTTCAATCGATAAAACAGAATATTCAGCATCGCTTTAACGGTCTTTAATAGCATCTTTAGTTAGTGACACACTCGTACTCGTTAGTGATGCAATCATACTGATCAATTAACATGACGAATTTGAATATTCCCGCGAATGTGACGCATGCAGGTGTACCAACACATCGGATTGAGATACATGTATGTACACTACATGCATGTTGCATCATATTGCGCACCATGTCCCGAAATCAGTGTCGCGAATCTCGTTTTTAAAGTGAAGACCCCGCACGCATACACATGTCACGTCGTAAAATCAAATCATCGGCCCGGGAAATGACAATCCGTGAATTGCACCCTACATAAATCTTATTTGCGTATACATCGTGTATGAACATCAGCTCCTACTGTGGCGGCGTGCGCGACCGCGCTTTGTCGTTGCCATCATTGTTGTTTCGTTGTTGTTGATTCCATGTAAGCTCAGTTGGTCAAAATGGCGTGAACCGACCGCGCGTTTTTAAGGTTATCTTCGCTCGTGGCGGATTTAACCGCGCGGAAGAACTACGTATACACGACATCCGTATCTGTGTCTTTTTTGTATAAGTGCGTTTTACGTTTGCACATTTGCACGTTACATCTACGTTTTCTGTGCTGTGAGTTACATGAATTATGAGGACGGAATGCCCGCAGGCGGTAACAGTCGTATCCGCGATTATTACCCAGCGCGGATGTCCGAACGGCAACAGCTCGCGCTAGTTTTACAAATGACTTCTCAGGAAATGATATCAGGTGAGAGTAAAAGAAAAAGAATAATCAAGCAAACATTAGTCAAATATATGAGTGACGAGAAACGTAAAGCAAGCACATAATGGTGATGCTATAAAATTGCGCGCGCTTTTCTTGTTTGGTTGGATTGTATCAATAATACGCGCTGTACGATTGTCACATAATTAATTATGTTGCAAGCTCGTCAAAATTCTTCAAGACGAGCTGTCAGACTAACGATGGCAACAAGCTATGATATCGTCTTATATCGTATTGTTGATTATTATATATGTTTATTTATTGTTTATAATCGAACGCTTTGCACTTAAGCTGTAATTATATAGCTGCATAATCTTATGTCATCTATATGCGTCTTTATGCGGGAAAAGCAAAGGAATGCAGAAGATCTAGTTACTTCATTCGAATGAATCTTGCCACCCTGTCTGCCCACATGTTCAGGTTTACCAACCACGTGGCACAATTGCCAAGAGCGCTGAATGTTTATTCATAAATATGTTGGAGCAAAAGATTCATGTAAAAAAAGAAATGTTATTAATTTTGTCATTAATGTAACATCATCAAATTAAAATTTCCATTATCCAAAAATTGAGATATTACATTTTCAGAATCATCAATTAACTATTATTGAAAATATCGACAGCTAAATTTAGAAAATAATCGATTTTTGTAAATGAGAAAAACAAATCTAGTAAATTTTAAGCATTAATCACTAATAATTGTTTCATATTTATTATTGTACACCATTATCTGAAAACAATTATATAGTATTACAAAAAGTGTATGTCAAATTTTAGAAATAAATTCTTATTTTTTTTATTTTTCATCTTTTTTTTAATTTTTCTTTAAATCTTATAATTTTTTTATTTAATTAAATTTTTAATAATTTATTATTTTAATTATATTTATTATTTATTTAAATTTAAATATGTTTATTTTGATATAAATTAATTTTATAATTGATTTTTTATAAAATATAAACAAAGTAAAATATTTTATATATTATATCATGACTTTGATATGTCATGGAAACTATATGTAGAAAATGTAGAATATGTAAAATATGTAGAACTTATTAAAATAGTTGAATTATTATTAATATATTTGTTCTAAATTTTAGTCTTATATATTATAAATTAGTTGTTTTTAGTATATTAAATTTTCTATGTTTTCTTGTTATTTACATTTATCAAATATTATATATGTATATGTACAGAGTGAGTCTGATAAAAAGTTTACCTTTTTTTCGAAAACGGTTAAAGATAACAGGAAGACTCCTATTATCAAAATTGTAAGTAGGAGGATATTTTGATGATTTTGAGTTAGGATCCTTAAATGGGTCCTTGGTTTTTTACTATTAATTAAAAAATTTTTTTATGGGGAGAGGTTTTTTAAAGTTATTTTATCAATAGTACTTAATGAGCTGAATATTTTTATATTAGAATATTTTTTCGAAAATTTAACTATTTTCGATATATAAACTAAAAGAAGTCAAACTAAAAGCTTGAAACAAATTTCTTTATTATTGCAATAAATGTTCCAAATGTTCACCATGTTAATCTAAACATGCTTGTAAATAAAATATAAACCAAGGATATTTAAGGTAACTCAAAGATATCATTAGAGTAGTGTTCCCTACTTATCCTATAATTTTGATAATAGGTGTCTTTCTTCTATCTGTAACCGTTTTAAAAAAAAAAAAGTGAATTTTTTATCAAACTCACCCTGTATATATACAGGACTGTACATATACAGGATAGGCCATTTTAATGTACCTCTCCAAATATCTTTTTTCTTACATCTTTTACCAAACAATGTTTTAGATAAAAGTTTTAGAGTATTAAGGGGAACATCCAATAGCAATATTTTGATTTCGGGACCCCTATTAAGCTGGACCCCCCACCTTCGCAAATTGAGTTCGGACATAGTCAAAAATTTAGTGCTATTTTGTTGCTAATTAGTTGCTCTAATCCGAATTTTGTTGCTCCAGCCGTTTAGCTGGAAATTGCGTAAAAAATGGGAGGGGCTAGCTTAATGGCAAGCTGGACCCCC